AAATGAGAGGGGGGCTGACCGGGGTCATGTTTACTTTTGTGTTTAGTTACCGTCTAGCGTTCTCGGTCCTCTAGCTGGCATCTTCGTTGGAGTCGTGGAGTCACTAGGTCCGTTTCCTTCAGCTTCAAAACATGATATACTCCCGAACCTTTAATCCTTGTGTACCTTGAGCAGCCAGCTCGCGATGAGCTGCACAGCGTCCATCGGCACGGACGGAAGGAGCAATCTTGCAGCTCCTGAGGATCACGGAGTTCGTTGTGCCATGCAAATAATGTGCCGACAAGCTTTGTATGGATGCTGAGCTGCCAACCGCAAGTATAACATACCTGCATGATCTGGAAGTTCCGTGCGGGAGTGAACTGAGCATGGTCCTGTTTGTATTGCAGAAGCAGAAAGCCACGTTGTGGATCAGTCGAGCTTGCAGCATCGACTGGTCTGCACTTTGCTCCACTTCGAATTGTTGTGCCGTCAGAAATTTGGTTTCGCAGGAGGCCACATCCGTCGCGATGGCACGACACCCAGATTTGTCGATTGCGTCCAAGCCTGCAAGCATGTCATCAATCTCCACACGTAAACAACCGTCCTAATATTGAATATTATTCTCGGTGAGTTCTTTTGCTTGAAATGTACCCAAGATTCGTCTTTATTCAGCAAGAAGGCAAGACCTCAGTACAGTTGCGACTATTCCGGGTGTGCCGAGGGATTGGAGCCTGTAGCTAATTATTCGACCTCCCCCCCGCTCCGTCTCCCGTCTCCGGCTCTGCCTCAATCCCAGTTTCCAAAAGACTGAGGGGGGGGGGCGGGCAGAGTACATTTTCATATTGGGATCCTGCAAAACATTTGTTGGGCTTGAATAAGAAATATTGTTTTTACTGGGGCGGACGCATTGACCGTGTCCTTACATTAGTGAGATTTTGCTTAGAGGCTTAGAGAGCGAATTCTGCAAGCACAAGCCTTGAACATGATGACTCTTATCTGTGCAACGACAGGCTTTGTTGGAGCATTCCGCTGACATGGATGCGATCGGTCCAGGAGGCCATGCCGCATGCCATGAAAGCACCAGTTTGTTGAAGTATGCAGCGCCTCGCCACGGGCTTTTCAACTCCATGTCATGATTCCAGTTGGCAGTGTTGTCAACAGTATTCGCACTTTTCAATTAACGCGGTTTGCAAATTGTAGATTGGTAGACATGCTCTGGGAATTGCGGTAGACGGTGGACCTAAAAGAAGGCTGCGCCGTCTTAACTGCAGGTTGGCCTCCAATCTTTTTTGCTGCTTTCTACTGCGACTTTGATGCCTTCGTCTGAGTTGACTCATTCTTGGGCCGCGGTGCTCGATAACTCTTACGATTGACCCTCAGAGGTCATGAGAGCGCTCATACACGCGCAGGCCAGGGAGCATGATCTTGGCAGCGTCGATTAATCTCGAGAAGGTAAATAGCACTTGCTGATGGCTTCGTGCATGCGTGCTGACACACGAAGCTCGAGTAGGTGCAGCATGTGAAGCTCGGTGTTGACAAACACTTATATGTGGGAGTTTATGCACATCCGTATGTCTCGCGATGTGCACCATCCTTGTGGTGGGTAGAACCAACATGCTTTCCGGAGAGCGAACCCCTGGTCTTGCTACAAGTCTGCAGCTCCGCCTTTCCACGCAGGGGAGACATGAAGTTGAGTAGTCAGTCTTGCTTAACCCGATGATGATCCAAAACCTTCACTGACATGTTGCTGATGTTTTGACTCTCTCACCCGGCAGTGTGACGTGAACATCCGTGACGAGTCGGGCCGATCGCTGGCCAGCTGGGCAAGATATGGAGACCAGGCTCTGGCATGCCCAGCCAATCCGTAGATGTAAAGCCTCGAAGATGCATGCCACGAAAGCATAGCAATAGACGACAATGAGCTGAAGTGTAGCAGATGGCAACATATGGCAACTGCAAATCTCTCCACAGGACCGGGAGCACCAAAAGGCAGCGATGCAAATCAGCTTTTTGCTGGGCGGCGCTGTTCAGAGCTCGATCTTGCAAGGCAGTTCTCAAGATGCTGTACCGCCATGGCTTCCCTCCTCCGGTGGAGGCGATACACGTTGCGCAGACGTGCTAGGGCCGGGCCTAGCGGCCTAGCCGCCTAGCCACGAGCTGCCAGGCCAAAGTGAAGCTGGGTCAGCTGCCAGGGCCTGAGATGATGCAAGGCTGCGCAAGCTTCGCATATAAACTTCGCATATAGGCTTCAGTGGAGTCACATCTAATCAGTTTGCGTTGTGCCCCCGCGGTTCTTCAGTCAGCGCATGGCTCGGGATTGTGTTGGGTCTCGCATCCCTTGTCCGGACTCGCAACAGCCGCGCAGCATCACCCCTTCCTTCATTCGTTGGTTGCGGACGAACCGATCTGTGAGCGATGTTGGCTTGATCCTGAACTTCTTCGTCTTGCTTTTCTTTTGGTGGCTTCAGCTTTGAAACAGGGAGGGGTGTTGCGTAGATGCGAGAGCAGAAATTGAGAGCAGAAATTGAGAGCCGATTTGAGCTCCTCGGCTCGACGGCTCCCTCTGGGCTCAAAGCAGCTTCTGAGTGTCTGGCTGGCGGCTATAGCCGCTAGCGGCTAGCGACTACTTGGGTTTGGAGAGGATTCCCCCCGTTTGAGGAGAAAAGGCCCTTCAGCCCTTCCCGATTCCCGCGTCCGTCCTTGCATCTCTCATCCGCCTCCTCGTGCATGCGGTCAACTCAGAATTGAACGCCTCACAACAGGCATGTCAACACGCGCGAGCGGAACAGGCCAGTGCGAAATTTGCTGCACAAACCTCCGTTCCCAGTCATGCCCCAGGCGTGGGCAACTAAGCCGCCACGCTTTTCACACCTGTCTGCAGCCACGGCCGGGCAGCACACTGCCTCGGCAGCCGACTTGGCGGACCTTCGACCGTGTGCGTGTTGAATTTCAACCCTGAATTTACAAGGCTTGGTGAATTGATGTGAATTGCAACCTTGCTGCAAGAGTCCTTCTACGCCGGCTTGCAGTGGTACGACAGCAGACGCAAATTTTCGCACAGAAGGATTTAGAGTGCCGGAAGCAGCTTCGCCTGAATGGCGACGATGATATTCAGTTTGTGAACACGCCTGTGAGGGGGCCTTCGGGAAGCTGTGGCAGGTGTGCGAAAGCATCATCGACAAATCTATGTTCGACAAGAAAGGTGAGCTTCAAAGCCCCATTTTGCTTGAATCTGCGCAGGCCAACTGAATTCATGAGTCGTTTTGGGTTTGCTGCTTGCCGAACTGTATGTAGTCGGAGGGAAACAGTTTACCGTTTGCAGCCCTACACTTGCGAGAGTCGTTTAGGGGTGGAGTTGAAGCACTTCGTTCGTTCAATGGGATCGACATCGCCAACCCCTTTGCATCGTCGACAGAAAGGGCCAACGATCCTTGGCGTCTGATGCGCGCCGCCGTCACAGCTGTCCAATGCCCCGTGAGTGCCCCATGCAAGTTCTGGCATCGGCGACAGCTCGTACCTAGTCGATTTTCCAGACCCGCTCAGGGTCTCAGTCAACAATCCATTTCACGTCCTTTGTTTGCCTACCCACAAACAGGAGGGAAACCCGAGTCCGGCCAATCTGCATGCGACACATTTTTGCACGCATGAGTGCAGACTAGCACATCGAAATGTAAGCAGCATGAATTTCAGTCGCATGGCAGCCCATCACCGAAGCACTCAGGAAGCCTGACTTCTGGGCACCAATTCCGGTGGACCAGAAGCTTTCGGTGCCTCGGCTTTCTGCCGGCAGAAGCATGAGACATCATGAGACTCTTTCGTAGCTGTAGCTGCGAACCACCTGCCGCTGTGAGTTACTGGAGTCCCTTGGAAGGAGCTGTTGGCCGACGGGGCAGATCTGATTTGGAAGGACGGATTCAACCGACGGTCGGATTGACAGATGCTGCTGTTCAGAGTCGGCTCATGCAACTTGCACACGTGAATTGGTTCGCTTAGATTCGGGCCAGTAGAAGAGCAGACGCCATGTTAGCAGCGCGGCCATGCCTTTGAACCAGAGTACATGTTTGTTTGCTCTGCAGGATTGTCGAGGGCGCACCTTCGGAAAGAGAAAACTGCTGACGTACCGACACCACGAGTCCGACGATGAGGGAACCTCATCGAAGCCAGTACAGGGCGTGTCCTTGAACCCTTTTCAAGGCAAGATTTAGGACCAGATTGCCGCAGTTTCTTGATTTCCGCAAAGACGGTGTGTATGCTCGCGGTTTCAGTTTCTCACGCGTGCAATTCGCGAGTGTTTGCTCAAAGAGTGGATTGGAGAGAGTTGGTTACGCAGAGCGACCTAGTCTTGCATGAGGATCCGGATTGGTCCTTCACAATCGCCTAGTAGATGGCCTTCAAGCATTAAGCGCATGTGGATCCAGGGTTGCAGGGAAGGCAGAGAAGCAAGGAGACACAAATCGACACATTTTCGAAGCACGCTACGAAGGATCGAAGAAGAACAGGGGACGACTTCATATTGCAATGCTGAAGTACATGTTTGTGTTGCCGGACCAGCTCCAGGGCCTACCAAATCGGATCAAGCCAAGCCTGAACTGGCAGAGTTAAACGTGCTGGGTCCAGCTTGTGTTCCTGAATGGCTCCTTAGAAAGGATGCTTGTCTTGCAGCTCTGCTGAACGAGATGAGTGAGGCAAACCTTCGCAAGTTCTGAGACACTGCTCCGACACTGATTCAGATGAGAATTGTGTCAGAGAGGAACATGTCAACCATGAACTACCGCAGCCAAAATTCGATGTGAGAACGGTTTACCCGACGCCGCTTTGATCCTTACGGACCCTCTTGAAGTCTTTCAGTCCAAACAATTCTCCAAGTCGAAAGTGATTTGGCTAGGACGTGCTGAGCAGGCCGAGGTTTAATGTCGCAGAAAGGGCACTCTGTCCATAATGTCGCATGATGAGCATTGTGTGGTTCGTTCTGGTTCCACCATGGACACTGCAAAAAGACCTCTCCGGGAGCCCCTCTGGAGGCTCATGCGAGTGTTTCGCGACGAGTGCGGGCTGGCTGTTGGCCTCTGCGTGGAAGAGAAGAAGCCCGCCCAAGCCATCGTCCTCAGATGGCTCAGTCGGCCTGGCCGCTTGAGGTCAACACATTAACGCACACGTGAAACTGTTGAATCGCCACATCGTGCTTCTGTGACGGGCAGTAGCTCAGAGACACTGCCGATGTCACTGAGGCGCGAAAAAAGCGCGCCAGACCTGTCAGAGGCCCCCTGCATTGACAGCACCAATTTCCTAAGGCAAGAAATTTTAGGACCTAGGAACGATGGTTGTCTGTTTATTGTAAGACGAGGCGGCCCGCGAGAGCGCGCTGTAGCCAGGCGTGGTGAGTTCCGCGTGGGCTTGAGTCATTTGAGTCTTGAGTCTCTTTGCTTGGCTATGCAGGTCAAGTCGATCCGGCAGGCGTTCATGAGCTCTGTTGTCGCTCTGCGCTCCTGACCTCACACAGAAAAGTGATGATGGGGCTATACTTGTATATGCGAGCAAGCGTGTAAGAGATTGTAAGATCCTAAGGATCGAAGGGTGCTGCAGTATGCCAACTTCCACCCTCAAGAATCACATCTTCACACTCCCACTCATCGATTTTCTATTCTAGGTCAGGCCGCAAAGCAGCCTTGGGCCAAAGGTCCTGCAGTTTTCCTCGGACACTGACGCATTGGAAAACAGCAGTCACATGTGTCCAGCATGCGAGCCTTCACCAGCATGAGCCACGTGAACATGTTCAGTCATCTTTTCTTGCGCATTCGGTTCAATCTTGCCGATTACCGTCCTTCTGAAAGGCAGGGCTGACTTCGGTGCAGAGTACAGTCTGCACCAGTGTGCAGTGCAGGCACGACTCCGTGGACCTCGGTCGCCGGGGCCCCGGCATTCGGGCGCCCGGCCCATCCCGGCCCGTGCCGGCTCGTAGCCCGTCTCGGGAACATGCGGGGAGCTGAGGCGCCGCGGCGCCGCCGCGATGTCCTTCTTCTGGCAGCTGCCGCTTGGCTTGGCCTAAAGCGCAGCTTTGTTTGTGTGTTGCTTGTCGAAGTCCCAGTGGCCCAGGCCGGAGGGGCAGGATGCTCTTGCAGACCTGCCGGATCCTGGGGCCGATGATGAGGAGCAGTGTCCTTTCCACCAGACGTGCCACGAGCTCTCGCAAAAAGCTGCCAGTCCGCCAGCCAGGCCAGTGCCACTTTGCATTGCCCGCAGGAGAAACGTGTTAAGGAAGCTGCCTTGAAGAGGCCGGAGTCGCTATGCATCGTCTCAATACACAGTAATACACATCTATCTTCGATCCTTCGCGTCCGTTTGACCACAATTCTGAAAGGTTTCAAACTTTTCATCAAGCTGTTTCGCCATAGGCACACTGGAGTGGGACACTGCATGCCATGAGCTTCTTGCAACCTTTTCAATCACCCGTCCATGCCCACATAAAGTCGGTCAGTGGATCGTCCACTCATCTCGAACATGTTAGTGTCGACCCTTCTTCAACGGAAGGCCGGGCATGCTGACCCTCGTGAAGGAGGCTACTGCGCAGATTTGCTGGTTTGAGTGGCAAGAGAGGGGCATAGCAAGGCCATGCAAGGACTGACAGTCCGAAAGACGTGATGCGGACACGGCTGTTGAGTGATGTAATGGTTGGGTCGGGGAGAACGAAGCACCCAGCGATGCGTGCATGTGTGGCACGATGCATGCAAGTACGCCGTAACACAGGCTTGGGAGTCAAGCTCACCGCATTTCAAGCCTGTCCTATTGTCGGGAGTCGGACCATTGTCCGGGGAGTTATAGACTAATAGAAAACACTTAGCCTAAGACTGACCGGGAAATGAAATCTTAGTCAAGAGGTAGAAATGTCAAAGCGCCATCAGAAAGACTGGAGTGGGTAGGGCGACAAGGCAACCAAGACCATATGAGAAAGAATGGCGGAAAGAACGAACGACGGAAGGTCATGACAAATTTTGTTCTTCATTCTGGAAGTTTTGATGATTTTTTTTGTTTTGGAATGAAGTTTCGCCATAGTGGCGCTCCCTCGCTCCTTGCCTTGACTCCTTGACCAGTCACCCTCCCTCTCTCACTGACCTACGGCACAGGAAGAGACTCTCGAGCCTGCAGTCCAGCGCGTGCCTTACACAATTCCCGGTCCGTGGCGGCGACTGCCACGATGCAGTTCCAGCTCCGCTGGGCTGCGGTAGTTTCTTTCGCAGCTCTCCAGAGTTGCTTTTTCTGTAGCTGGGGTTCTGCAAGTCGGGCGACATAAGGTGGCCGCCAGTGAAGCCTCTTCCACCCGTGGGGCACCAAACATTGCCTGGAAAGAGCGGGCTGTGGCTTCGGCACGTTCCGAGGCAGAGTCAGACCGCGGCGATCTCAGTGTGCCAGCTCGCAGAGCCTGACCGAACGTCGATTGCACAGGATTTAAAGGAATGTGCGAGATGAATCTGTGATAGTTCCGAGGCCGCAGCCGAGGTGGACGTGACAGACGGAGGAGTGGAAAACTGGGAAACCTGCGAAGTGTATCGAAGCGCAGCGCTTTGCAGGCGTGGCGCCTCGGAGAAGGTCGCGGAGACCTACGCCCAGGACCTGATATGTGACATCTCTACTCATCTTTGCAGAGAAGCAGCTAAGAGCTAGGACTTCCGGGGCTATGGCAATCATGGTCATGGCGATGACAAGCTGAGAAAGCGAGACTATGGGTGGCAGCCTCGGGCCCCAATATCTCCCTGACACGAGAGTCGGGATGGCAGTCGCAAGCATCTGTCGGAGGAAGAGGAAGCTCTGGGACCTAGGACACTAGGGATTGTCGAGGTTGTTTTGTTCTCACGATTTCAATATGGCTTGGGTATGATTGGCCGATATGGACACATCTAAGGAACACATAACTTTCCAGTGTTCCATGCACATTGCGGGGCGGGGCTGGGGTGCCTGCAGCACTTTTTCTACTGTGATATCTGATGTCGGTGCATAATGCAGCGACGAAGCGCACTATCTGCATATGGCTGTTGCGTGCTGTTGCTGTGCCCAGCTGGCCGTTAGCAGAACGTGGCCCGCGCCTGGAACTCAGCATCTGCCCTGGCCCGGGATTTTGCACGTCACACGTGGCTCAGGCCGACGCCCTGATATGATGATGGGCAAGGGCCGCATGAGCACTTCGTCTCGCACTGGTAATGAGGTTGAGTGCCGACTGATGGCCGATGGCCTTCCTTAATCATCCCAAAGGAGGGCAACCTTCTCAAATCTGAGGCAAGGGGGGCTACAAAGGACTTGCACGAGTCGGGGCAGGACACAACGGCACAGCTTTGGAGATGCAAGCGTGCGGTGCAGGAGATGAGAAGGGTGGCAACGGAAAGAATGGCTATGGCATGAGCAAGGGCGGCTTTTACAAAGGCTTCTGTGCAACCGTACTTTGGATGCTGTTGACGCCGCTTGTGACAAATCCAAGCGGGATTCATGCTTCGAGGCTACGACAAGTTCGACAAGCCGGAGCGTCGCTTTACTGCCACGTTTGATCGTGCTTGGCTGTGCTGGGCAGTTGCGAGTCGGCGTGATCGATAGTTTCATGCTCTGACCATTGCTTTGCCATCAGACCCTAGCAAAAATGTCGCTCTGTGGAGCTTGTGGGAATTGTCGTTTACCAGTTCAGTCTAGTGAAGACACCAGGCCAACAACGTGTGCGGGTCTGTATCTGAACGTTTAGCAATAGTAAAGGTGGGTGGGAGGCCCCCTCTCGCCCAGGTGGGAGGGGGAATCCTCCCCTGGAGACACCCCCCAAATACCCCAAAGTCCCTTGTTCAGCATTTTAGAATGCTTTTGTGCGGTGCGTACTTTTTGCCTCGACACGTCTCGACACTGCAAGATCGGCACTGGTTTGCGGCAGCAGTTTCAAGGGCAATCGGCAGCATGGCGACTGGCGTGTAGAGTGACTTCAAAGACATTGCTTGAGCATGCACACGTTACATTTCGGATATTTCGGTTCGGTGAGCCATAGCGAATCTTGGAGTTGAACAGGCAGGTATGTGTGGCGACGTTTGTGGAGCCGTTTAGGGCTGTGTGGGGTGTATTCGCATCTTCGGGCCTGCACATGCCAACCAGCTTTCTGATTCTTGTGCTGGTGAAATTCGTAACGACTGAATACTGATTCAGCAAGAACATGGGTTGCCTGAGCACATCACCGACAATATTTCTCTGACCCAGAAAGCTGGGTGGGCCCGATTTTGCCCATTCTCAGTGCTGCGATGCAATAGATTTGTTGGGACTACCCTTTCCCATCCTTTCCCTATTAAGCTTCCCCCAGCTTTTGTGACCTGCTTCTTCAAGTCAATGGTCCGTCCCCTCGGTTGACAGGCCGTGGCGGACGAGGCATTCAGGGCGAATGCAGGGCATGACAGAGTTGTAATGTGTAGCCGGCACCGAAGCCAAAAGATCCGTGGCTCGGGTGACTGTGAGGTACGAGGCCCTGGGAGGAGCTGCCGCCCCGGCCTCCACGGGTGGAGGTGTGGTTATCTTGGCGCGACCTTAAAAAAGGAAAACACGAGCCTGAAAGCCTCTCCAGGAAACCTTTGAGGCGAAGGAGCGGCAGAAGAAGGAAGAGCAAGAGCAGCAGACGCGAGTAGCGCGCTCAGACACGTTCTCGGAGCTCTGATCTGATCTGATTTTTGCTGTGGGCTGAGACGTCTCTCCGCATGGCCACCTCCGCGGAGGAGCTGGAGAAGGCTATAGCCTCGGCCAAGGACGCCGAACTCCGAACTCGAAGTCCCGTCGTGTCTTCGTGTTTTTGGTGTCAGAGACTGTCGCTGGCAGGAGCTGGGCCTCACCCTTGAAGCCAGCCTCGGAGAGCGCGGGCCCCAACCTGCGAGCGCTCTAAGCGCTTGCCCAAGTAACGCTTCTCTTCCTCTTTTCGGTCCATTCTCTTCCGGAAAGGAAGAAGCTTCAGAAGCTGCAAGGCTGAGTGAGGGACTCAGCCTGTCCTCGCTTGCGCATGCCATCCTCTGCCGGGCCACGCGAGGTATCATCCCAACGACTCCAGGATGCTGGAACTGTAGTTAGGTGTTGATGCCATGGGAGGAGTCGCAGAGGGCAGGCGACGTATCGATGTAACACGGTGGCCATAGCCATGGCCTTGAAACCGCAACGCAGGAAGTGGAAGTTTTTGGAGTCGAGTGCCTCTCACTCTCACATGGCCGTCACAATAGCAAAAAAGCACTCTCTAAATCAGCTCAAGGGACTCTGCTGTTTCGCCCGAAGATGAACATTTGCAGGTGCTCTCACGTGACAGAGCATTGGGTAAGCCCCTTGAGCTTGCAAATCGCCCGGAGTTTCAATGGCGAAGCAAAAGGGCTGGCCATATGTGGAGTTCTTCGAGACTTTGAACATCTCTGGTGAAGTGACATGTGTTCCACCGCCGACATATGATTATTAATGCACTGTCTGAATTTTGGCTCATTATGGCACCAGCTAACTTAACATCATGACTTCATGTCATCCAGTGACCAGTGGAGCCAGTGGGCGCAGCTTCTCCAATGTGAAGTAGTGAAAGTATCGCTTGCCGAGTGGCACTTTCGTGTCTGTGTTTGCCACAGCTGTCCAAATCAACCCAACATGTGAAGAAGAACGTGATAAGAACAGATTCACAGGGTTGAACTTCAGCGTTTCTCATGCCGTCTTTCTCGCCTTCACGTCGACGAAGGCCACCTCAGCCTTGGTTCTGCCATGCCATCTTTCCTGAGAAGCTCATGAGTGCTTGTGCCCGCAGGCCATCGGATTCGCGGCGAAGGAGGCCCTCGCATAGGCTACAATAAGAAGAAAAGAAAAGTGGGGTATCGCGGGTCGCCCAAGGTGCAAGTTGCAGGCGACGAGTTGCAAGTGATAGAACATTTGCAGATAAAGATTGATTCAAGCGTGAGATGCCAACGAAGGTCGCGTTCCGCACGGCGCTTGGCCCTTACACGGTGAGACCTGTGTGCAGTGTAACCAGATCTACAACCATTCATCTCGGGTTTTTCAGAGGAAGCATTTGCACAGTCTGCTGAGTTGTACATAGGCAAGCAAGCTTGCAGACAGCGACAGGCAGGCAGGCTGACTGAGTGACTGACCGACCTGCAGACACGGATGCAGGCCATCAGGCTAGCAGTGGCTAGCAGGCTAGTTGGCAGACAGAGGCGAGTCCAGCTCGAGACTCTGCCAAGTTCACCGGAGTGGACGGAACGATTTTGTCGAGCTTCGACACTTCCAGCGCAGCGAGACTTCTCATAGGTTTCTAAGCAGAGGCCGACGTCCACCACCTCCTGAGAAGCACCTCGCCGCTCACAGAGGTCACCGGGACAGCCGTTCTCCGCCTCCAAGGCGCTCAAAGTCGCGCCAAAGGCAAGCCCCGGGTTTGCGTCGGTTACAGGGAGGCTTGCAGAAATTGCGTGGGAAGTCTTCCAGGAGTCGTCGGTGTTTTCAGTTGTACGGAGTCATACGGAGTCGCATGGTGACAGAATTCTGGCAAGTCATGGCATACCGCAGTCAAGACAGCGCACTGCTGCATGAACAAAGGATCACGCGTGATCACGCCATGCTCGTAGAATCGGTGCTGCTCCATTTCAGCAGGTCGCCGCAAGGACGGGCAGCCTCTCCGTCCAGGTGACATGGCCTACGTTAGACATTGCCCCATGCAAAGTCGTGAAAAGAGCAGTCCTTCCATGTATTCCTTCAGAGGTCTCGCAGCGAAGATCGAAAGACCCGTCCGGTCATCACTCCTGGGCCTCGCCCACAGATTGACAGAGAGTAGTTTTCCGACAGGATCCGACTGACGGTCACCTAATTCAAAGCAAAATGTACATCGTCATTGACACAGACATGCGCAGCCACCTGCGTGCTCTAAGGGAGATGGCACAAACAACATGATTTCGAGTCCCTCACAGTCAAATCTGTTTATCGCCTTTGACAGGGGCGGGATCGAGTCTGTGGAGGCCAAGGTGGTGGATGCACGCACTCGACACAGCGGGGCCGGAGGGCCCGGAAAGAGATGCAACGGTCGAGCGATGTCGAGCGGCTTGAGAGTTCCTGTGAAGCACAGACTGGCAGCTACCTGCAGTCATGAAGATGAGCATGCTACAGCTAGAATAGCTGCTGAGATGCTCCTGAAGTTCGATATAGCCATATTGCAACTAGGTAGCAGTCGCAGCTCATCTCCGCTCAATCCGAGGAGCCCACGTTCCAAGCGGAGGCCAGCTGCCCATAGCTGCCCGCTTCATCGCCAGCATCTGACGTTTTTTTGCTGTTCCCGACACACCGGGTTGCAGGAACCTTCAGCATGCTGTATGCAAATCCCCAGCATGCTGCAAGTTTCCTTTTGGGCACATCGCTTGAACAAATTCAGAATGAACTTCGGCCGAAACCCAAAGACCATAGAATTCTTCCTCAGGGATGTTGCCCAGATAAAGAAACGACGGGTTAGTTCAGGTCTATTTGGGCCTTGATGCTGCGGCTGCAGGCCCGACTGCTTCTAAATGTTTTGGGTAGGTGGGTACTTGGAATTGTCCTTCCAGCACAGAGGTGCCAGGTTGCTCCTTGCACCACACAGACAGTGGGGCAGTGGGGTGATTCGGCATGTGACAATGTGGGTGCGGAGCAGGCCGTCAAAGAACGATGTGCATCCGCAAGAGCCTCAGAAACGACAGCAGAACGACGCACGCTGGGGTGCAGCAGATCAGCGTTACGGCGTTACCTGGCCTTAGCGTACATCTCGCAAAGGCGGCCCTTGCCGAGTCGACAGAGGCCAAGCACAGGAGGATGCTGACAAAATGGAGGCCAGGGCCGCGCATCCTTGCCATACGCCCCTCCACAACCTGAGGGTCAATGTTCGCCCATTTGGACTCCTTGTAACTGTCGCTGTATTCGCTGTTCGGTGGAGAGTGGAGCCCTGAAGGAAGCTGCCAAGGATGGCATCAAGGCAGTGCGGGAGATGGCGGCAAAGATGAAGAGGCATTGTGTCATGTCGACAACATCCAATTGAGACATGGAGCGCAAAGCAGCAAAGCGGGGCGGTGGCGATCTTCCTTAGGTCCCGCATCTTGACCATGCCTCCATCTTTGTGATCGGGCATGTTGGATCGGAATGTAGCATGGACCAAAGCCGAGTCCTGAGGTGTTCGCTGTTTCACTCGGGTAGGTCTCGCATCTCGACAACACCGGCTTGAGCCATAAGAGGAAACGTACTTCTGGGAACAAGGACCGGAACAGTCGGCGGTTCCCGGGACAACGAGCACATTCATGTGTTGACACCACAAGAGGCTGCAAGGAGATGCTCAAATGTCGGAAGGTATGCTGCACACGGGACCACGTAGGAGTGTTCAGTTGTTTGTATTTTGGGACACTGGCAGTCACTGGAGACCTTTCTTGCATTGGTTCGTGGTTGAAACAGGGTCGGTCGACGAAGCCTCTGAGCTTGAAGATTTGCCCCAGTCCATGAAGGTTTGGAGTGCGGGCATAAATCATACTGAGCGGTAAATGGTGCAGGACGATGACGCAGACTTCAGTGTGATCCCGAATGAGAGCTGGCGAACGTGAATCTTGCTGAAGTCAGGAGCGGACTGCCCTTGGGCCGGCACTAAAGAAACTGGAGGCATCTGCGGACGGGAGCATCTTCGATGCTTCAAGCTGCACGGCTGCTGCCCCATGCAGGGACAACAGAAGCCAACTTTATCTGTGCAGAAGAGTTTACGGCAAGGCAGCCCAGTACCCAGGCAATATCCAAGGCTATAGTAGACAAGGCAGCAACCGAATTCATTCGCCTCCGCAGCCACAGAGCTCGGCAAAGGCTTCTGCACACCTACCGCCGCTCATCTAGAACATGCGGAGCCCCTCTTTGAGTGATTCGCAGCACGGCATCCACGTCAGGCAGTTGCTGTACCGCTACTGCACCGCAGGCTGCCAGAGTCAGAGTGTCCCGAGATGTCCCGAGCAGCCGAGACCTACTGGTAACAGCCATATCTGGTAACAGCCATGTTCCACGGATGTCCATGGTGATGCTTGCAAAGCCAGCATGCCCGCACCTGCCAGTGTTGGGAGAGTGTAGGACAGCGCATGCGAAGTTTCAGAACCATTGGAGAAGCGGAGACATGTTCTTGTTCATTTAGATACAGGTAGCTAAGAGCCGCATGCTGTCTCCGGCATCCATGTAGCAGGTGTCACATCAGCAGATGTGCTGAACCATGCCAGAGCAATGCTAATTAAGCAGATGGCCCACGTTAAAAATGTTATCATTTTGGTTTGTTTGTAGCTCCTGCGGGCCTTCATGGACACGGAGAGCTACTTGGACGAGGCTTGGGCACATGGATCTGAGAAGCAGAGGCGGAGAGTGTGAGTCTGTGGGTCTGAACCTTGGAAGTTTGAAGCGAACATGCACACAGTTTCGGGAGGCCAGATGTAATCGAAGTCGATCTGTGCATTTCACATTCTCAGACGCCGATTCGTGTAGTCATCCTCCATCTATTCTTCGGTGCCATGCTCCTGTTTCTCACGCACGGCAGCTCTTCTGCTGTTTGATCCTGTTCGGGGCAGGCCTGGCAGTTGTGCAGGAAGGAGCTTGACGATGTGGAGGACTCTGAGAGCTGACATTTGGGAAGCACGCATGCGTTCGCCTCTGGAAGTATTTATAGCCTGGAGGTTATCATGCTCTCGAGAGACATCCTCAATATTCAACAATATCCACCGTCAGGAAGTGGTTGACCTGCGCGACTGTTCCTGCCTCGAGTTGCTCATGTTATTGGTATGCTCCCGCGTGAGGTAGCACGGTAGCACTGAAGGAACACGAGCCAGTGCCAGCAGAACAGGCAGCTCTACTGAACAAACACCGCCAGCCCGGCGAGCATCAGCAGAATAGTTGAGCACATCTAAGAGCGTCCCCTTCAATCGGCCGAACTATTGTCAGATAAAGATTTGGGATATCCCTGTGCGGAGCGAAGCTCGGAGAACGCTGTGAACATTGCAGTAATCTCGTATGTTGGGTGCGAACCTCCAGACTTCAGGTGAGTCCTCGACACACTTCCGAGAAGGTCGCGGATATTCCAACACGACCTGTCAAACGTCCAGAGCTCGTTTGCAAGTCGTGAAAATCGCAGGGCGAAGGCCGAGAATCTCCATACTTTCGTATGTTGTGCGTATGTCTTGAGTTTGAGGCTCGACATCCTCGGCCCTGAATGCAGCGAGAGCTCTGTGAGCTCTGCACCAAGGGCACCGCTGCAATTTGTTCCTGTCGGTTTTTTGCGACTACCTTGAGGTAGTCCTCGGAATCTAGACGTCATAGACGGCCTGGACTTGGATAGCATGGCACTGAGGGACCTGGCGGCATGGGGGAGCATTAAGTTCCGACTGCCCTGCGACGTACCGCATCTGCAGGTGTTCTTCGGGCCCTCGTCAACGCAGAGGACCGCTGTCGCCGCTAAGGTTCGCATGTCGGGATTGCGCGGAAATCCAAACAAAGTGAAGGAAAAGCTACCCAGAAAGCAACGGCGAGCCAATTCATCTTTCAGGGCATTGAACAACTGCACTGCTGAACCAGGGATCCGGCTAGGTTTTGCATTCACAATGCTCTCCTGTAATCATGCTGAGCCATGGTGGTCCATCCTCCCTTTTTTCTGCTCGCAGGACTCAGAAAACTCAGAGGCGGGCGAGCTGCTGTAGTCTAAAGCCGCTTCCGACACCGACTGACAGAGACCTGGGAGATCTTGCATCTTGCATTGTTGCATTGCATGGAACAGCTTCCACAATCGAAAGGCTATCTGTGTTTCAGACACGACTTACCTTACATGGAAGCTCGTCGACAGTCGCCCTCCCTGCTGGTTTTCGCAACCCATCGACAAGGATGCTCCGTGCCCTTAGCCTCAATTCTCGCTTGCATTGCGTACATGCCCAAATTCCGAAGTGTTTCCGGAATATGCCACAGCTGAAACAGGCTTCTATGCGTGGAGTCTATTGACCTGATTTCGTCGGAAATCCGAGATTTCCTGTCGTCAAGCTCCTTCGAAGCTTAACCCTAGCCTATCACTATTCTGAAAGAGTGAAGTCTGTTCAGCCATGCTCCCAGTTAGGCACGCCAGATAGCCTCCTGATAGTATAAAGCTGGATGATCCTGTGAAAGATTGCAGCCCGAGCTTGTTGGAAGATGTTGGAGGAGCTTACAGAGCCGCTAAATCCACATACAAAAAACTGGGGCTACTTGTAAGTTCTCTGCGGAAGTCAAAGACACGTCGGTCCGGAGGCTGGTGGCCTCTCTGCACTGCTTGCGAACACCGTCTACATCGACGGGTGCGCATTGTTAGCACTGAAGTCAGGCTGTGGCAGGCCGGCCCTGTGTGTTAGGTACAGAGATGATGCGTGCAGCGACAGCGACAGCACGGTCCCATCTGAAGAGGCACACGAGCCAGCAATCTCAACATGTGCTGCTTCGCGACAGACCCCGTTCGGTGCCGATGCCAGGACACTGCTCTGCTTCCGCCAACAGCGGTAGCACCCAGCAGGGTCGCCGGCTTTGTCTTGCGGATTCCTGTGGGAACTACATTGGGCTTGACATCTTCTGCACTCGGCACATAGCATCTCTCAGGTTCAGATGGACTCTATCCGGCAGCAGCAGCTGCAACCTAGCCTTTCCAGCGTGGATTGGCCAGAGTACCTTCGCATGCAGAGCTGCCCGCTGCTACATCCGTCGTATCTTCGGTCCGACACAGAATCGCCATAGCCCAGGCTGATCCTAGGCTTGTACTGGTCTGAGAGTCTTTTTTCAAGGAACTCGGCCCTCCAGTCTCGCATCATCCGCTTTGCATGATCACTGTGGCTGGAAATAGCCGCTACGTAGTCAGCATAATATCTCCAGAGGTGCCTGTGAATAGGGATGATCGCCAGCGTCGTTCGTTCGCAGAGAAAATGTTGGTGTGTCTCTGCGGTGTAAGGCTCGTTCAGAGCCATCGCAGTTCTGCCTGCAGTGGGTATAGTGCAGGGGCCGGAGACTCAGTATGCTTTTGTCCGAGCTCTTGAGGAGACAGTTGTTCTCTAGAGTTGCGAAGTAGGCACTTGAACGCAGGCGATGTCGGTTGAATCGCCGGCATCTAGCACCTCACGGGATCGGCCGCAACCCCAGCACAACGAGAACATCGAACTCTGGAGTGGTGCATCGCCCAAACGAAGCCCGACCACAAATCAGACTCTGCATCGAAGACGAGCATTGCAAATATTTCTGATGAGAGGAGGTTCGGCCTCGGCCCGACAAATGCTGTGAAGTCCATAGGCAACCACGGAAGCGCAGGATTGTGTCCGTCGTGGCTGGTATCGGCTGGTTGTACTGTAGTGCCTACTTAGGGGAGGTGGCTGTAGCTGAGTAATTAATGAGGTGCACTGCCACCTCAACTAATTCGGAGGGTGTGTGGGAATTGTTGAACCAAAAGGATTTCATGACTGTCAGTCTTCGGTCTGAGTCTGCTATGCAAGGCAAACGTGCTGTCACTGCTGCAATGCCCCGCGGTGTGTGTGTGTGTGTGTGTGTCTGTGTCTGTGTCTGTGTGTGTGTGTGTGTGTGGCTGGCTCTGTGTGTGTGTGTCATCCCTGAAACTAAGGGCTAGATTCTATTGAATGTACTATGGTTGCAGGAGGGGGCATGGCGCTCTTACTCCTAGCCATGCTAACAAAGCTGTGGAGTCTGAGTGGATGGAGTCACTGACGAGTGACTCTGTACCTTCAGGGTTGCACCTGGATCCATTGATTGGATAGCTGGTGGACTCAACGTCTTTGCTTGCAGTCATGTTTCATGCAGTAGTTCATTTGTTTAGGGGTTCCGAGACACACTCATGTACATGTGATCGCTCGCTTGACAGCCGGCTTGAGCACAGCAAAAGGCCGTTTCTTTTGATTCTGGTAGCGGAGCTTTGCTCCTGCTTCCGGGCTACGTGCGCGCCATTGCGCTTGCGCTGCTGGAGGCGGCGCGTCCCGGCACGGCCGGCGACCACACGACAACGACGAGCACCACGACGTTTTCCCTTCGGAGAACACTGAATTGGCTGGCAGCTCTTTCGCTGCTGGTTGCCTGGCTTTCACCAAATAAGAGCGCGGAACCCCTTTTCGGCCGGGGCTACAACGACCTCGGCGACTTCCCTTCGGCAGCGGCTCCAGCCCGAGCTCTACGCAGCGATCCTCCGGAAGGCCTTTGGCACGGATCCGAACGAGCCCTACTACACGAGTGGCAGAGATCTCTTGCAGCCTTCTTCGGCGTGATGGCTGCTCCCTCAGGCAGCACTGGTGGAGTGCCGTTGGAAGAATGGAGAAAGGATATGCCTCCAGGCTGGAAGCCTGGGATCGAGTCGTACCCTTTGAAGCTGTACTGCTCGAAGCTCAAGCTTTGGTACCGTTGTGCTGAGGCTCCGGACGAGATGATAGGACCTTTGGTGGCAGGTCGCTTGGCCGGCGCTGCCCAGCGCATAGCACTCGAGCTGAAGCTTGTGCGCCCGGACGGCCAGTACGATGTGGGTGACGCTGCTTTGGTTCGACTCTCTGTCGACCAGGTCATCGACCCGGCCGACGGGGTGACGATCTTGCAGCACGCGATCCCCTCTGGCGTCCAGGCCCTTTGCAATGCTCTTCGGGAGGCCTTTGGAGAATCCGACGATGCTCAGGTGACAAAGGCCCTCGAGAGCTACTTCGAGTACAAGTGGCCACCTTCCATGGGTCTCCAGGAGTTCTCAGCAGAATGGGAAATGAGGTTCGAGGATGCCAAGACCCGAGCAGGCCTCGAGATGAACAATGTGGCGAAAACCTACATGTGGATGAAGCAAGCCTGTTTGCCCCAAAAGCACCAGGACGACCTCAAGTTCCAGGTCCACGGGGACCTCAGCCGGTTCAATGACATCAGGCAGCTGGCTTTGAGGCTGGCTCACCGTGTCGACAAGTCGGCCGGTGGGGACATCTTCTACGAGGAACCGGCGGGCATGGAGGAGCTCTCTGAGGTCTGGCCGGATGAGACTTACTGGTCCGATGGCTGGTGGAGTGACGATTCCTGGCAGTTCGTCGACGAGCCCTATGGAGAAGGCGTGTGGTACGAGGACGAGACCTACTACGAGGACTATGAGTACGAGGAGCAGGACTGGACGGGGCACGCCGACGCCGAGCCAGGACATCAAGGTGGTGATGAAGTTCACTGGGACCAGAGCGAGGGCATCTATAGGCAGGAGGCCATCGTCCTGGCGGTGGCAAGGGCAAGTCAAAGAGCAGTGGACCTTTCGGCACGGGCTGCTTCATCTCTGGCTCGAGATGGCATTTGGCTGCCGATTGCCCAGTCAAGGGCAAAGCAGGCGGCAAGGGCAAAGGCTGGTCTGGTGGCAAAGGAAAGCGAAGCTTCGGTGGCAAGGGCAAGTCCAAAGGAAAGATGAAAGGCAAAGGAAAGGGCTTCAAGGGGTCCAAGGGCTACGGCAAGCCTCGCTACTACGCTGACTCGGATCGAGGTGAGAACCAGCTGCGCCACGCCCGAGAAGGACTCCACCTTGGAATGGGCGACTCTCCGCCAAAGAAGACTGAGACTCAGTACTTCAACATCAGCAAGGAACCTGAGCTTCCCAAGAACTACTTTGATGACATCTGCGGTTGGACAAGGTGAAGTCGCAGCCCGCCAAAGAGATGCCCGTGGAGGATGCAGCGGAGTCCTCGTGAGGAAAGTCTGTGCTCGACGGCTTTCCTCCTGAGCAGAGGTCTTCTCATCGAGCGGTAGCATGTAGTGGCGGCTGTCGGTGTAGAGGAGGCGAAGGAGGTTGTACTTGTCGTTGTTCCCGCTGCTAGATTCATTCGGCACGATGAGCAATCCGTCCTTGTTGGTGAACCAATTGGCCGCAATGATCGCCCCCATGTTCACCAGCGCTGGGTTGCCCACCAAAGCAGGACAGCAACTTGCTTCGACTCCGACAACATCTGCCACATAGCTGGCCTTCGAAAGTCCTTGGAGCATTGGCAAGCCAATCTTCACCTCTCCCAACGTGGTGTCAGCCGAGCCGCTGATGCCAGTCACTTCCGATTTCTTCTCGGACCACTCAGCAGACACCTTTGGATCCTACATGGGAATCAAGTCCAAAGCCGCAGCAGACACCGTCTGATCCCACGTCGGGATCAAGTCCAAAGCCAGGGTCCCAAAGTATGTGCACAGGTCAAGAGTCGGCTCCATCTCCAGTAGCAAAGGTGCGCAGTGGATCACCGTCACCGAAGTCTGTCCGTTTTGCAGCAGATGAGCAGTCACTGGCCACAAGTTGTCTCACGTCTCAGCTTCTGGAGTCGGGCCGTCGGGCAGTGATGAGGCGTACTTCCAGGCTCCTTCAACGTACCCAGGTGACTGCTTCCCAGAACACATGCTTCAGCCACAGGTGCGTCGTCTGGAAGGCTACTACGCTGGCATGAAGGAGGAGTACTACACGAAGTCTGGCAAGGCACCTGTGACGCCGAAGAACTTTGCGAGCTACGTTACGGCTGGGACCTCTCCGTTAAGGAGCACCAAGACATGATCCTCCAGGCCCAGGAGCTCATGGACTCGAAGGTCATCTTCATGACTCCATCCTGTGCGCCATGGGTCAACACGGCGAAGGACCTCACCGATGATGATCGCGAGCTTCTACGTTCTCAGGAGCAGGAAGCGCTGAGGTTCACGAAGGTTCTCGCAGGCCGTCAAGTTCAGCGAGGTCGAGCGTTTGTCGTGGAACAGCCCTGGTCCAGCAACACCTGGCGACACTCGGTGATGTCAACACTTCAGAGAGATCTACCTGGCTGTCGTCCACGCCAACGCACTGACCTATGTTGTTTTGGGGCCGTGGATCGGAAAGGATTTCCTCTCCTCAAGGCTACGGGGCTCCAGGGCAACTTCTCCCTGCGGAACTTGACGCGACGCTGTCAGGGGCACCGTCTGGAACATGGTTCGGTGCAAGGCGCCCCGGATCGAACCTCGGTTGCATTCCCTCAGCTCTTCTGCAAGGCGATCATCAAGGACATCGTCAAGTACCTCCGGACCATTGGCGACAAACCCAATGGCATCTTCGCTGCTGGCCAGAGACAGGACCGCTCAACGGCTTCTTCGTCCTCCAAGAACCCGGCGGTCATCCGGAACGCGGTGACGACACCGCTCCCTCAACTTCTTGAGGAATTCAGGCAAGCAGCGATGAAGCGTGAAAATCTGGACGATGTGAAGGTGAACTGGCCTGACGGCATTGTCATCTCGGCCATTGACAGTGTGCTCTTCAAGCACCTCCTCCTCTGCCTGGTCGAGGACAGTGTCAACGTCATCTCCGAGGAGAAGGGCAAGCACAATCACTGGACGCAGGACCCAGTCCACCTCGGCATCCTCCGCAAAGTTTTCGGACGAGTCCTGGATGTGAAAGGGGTGTGCACTTCGCTCCAAGCGGAGACATATCCTCAGCCAATGCCGTTCTTGCGCACTGAGTCGGCCCCTTTTAGAGTCATCGTCAGGGGCGAGGTCAAGAACTGGACTGTCAAGAAGGCCGAGGACCTGCGCACCATGACGAGTCGCCAGCTCAACGAGAAGGTGTTTTGCGAGGACTGGGTGATCGCCATCTTCGGTTCCTCCGCGAAAGACAAGGACTACTGGGAAGTCGACCGGATCAAGGGCAAGGCCACACGTCATCACATACAACCAAGGACGGCAATGTTTACACCCAGAGAGGCTGAAGGACCGGTCGGCATGGAGGAACTCTCATCTACTCGCACCACTCCCTACGATAAGCCTGGACCCAAGGTCGTGATCAAGGACGAGTGGACTACGAGGGATAGCTCGCGAGCGGCCATTGAATACGGTCGCTGGACGGGGACTACCGAATTCGAGATCCTGGCTCCAGAAGAAGACCCCCGACAAGACGATCCCGTTCTACGTGATGGCGACGAACGAGAGGCAGCTATGGACCGCGAGGAGGCGCAGGCCGAAGCAGTTGACGCTGTGAGGACAGTCCTGCGATCGATCCCCCCAAGCGGGCGAACTTCGACTTTCGTCGAGTGCTGGTTCGTTTGCCTAGACTTGCGAAGGAAGATCCTCAGCAGGCCAAGAGACTGCTTCTCGGTCTTCACGAGCGCTTCTGGCATGCCAACTGCAG